GAGTTGTATTGCATGCCCTTGCGCAAGACTGTAATATTTGACTCAAAACTGCTATCAAAATAAGAGCAGAATCTGACCTTGCGGAAAGCAAAGTATCACAAAAAAATGGAGCGTATTTCGGCCGGGACAAAGTCTTTTACCAGATATTAACACTGCGTTTCTTGCTGAAACTCACAGTCAGTAGCGCATCTACTGTTTGACTCTGAGGCTCGTCAGCTCTGAGGCAACCTTTGATTCTTCAAAACATGGAATTCAGCACCATCTGCTAAGATACGTAATTGTACCGAGAAGGTCGTTCTTGCCTTGAAAATATGCTAGCAGTGTACTAGAAAATTGGATAGGTCTCAGGTTGTCTGCTTAACGATAGGCCACGTGAAGAACAATGCTCAGTAACCTCATTGACGAGGTTATTAGATGCGGACTATGCTGGCGAAGTTGCTGTCATCCCAACAAACCCGGAAAAACTTCAGCCTCGCATGACCTTGATTGTCGTATAAATCGTGAGGGAGCTAGGTGTAAGCTGAAACTGAAGCGATCGAGGTGCGCAGTTCTTCCTTCACCGTATTTCTAGATGTTTCAGTTTCATGTAAATTTACGGGGATAAGATCGGAACTGTGTCGACGAGTTCTGAATCCAGGCTCATCAAGGACGTACGATACTAGTGAAGCGAAGGTTTAAGACAAAGTCCGGAAGAGCATAATATTTATGAATTGCAAAACAACTGCTTGAATCGTGATGTGTATCTGACAATATCACATCGCGTTAGCGAAATTCCTTGTGTATTTCTGCTGTTTTACCACATATGACTTATGTTTGTCGCAGCTCGGGTTTTCTTTCCGAGAAGGAAATTGATGCGTTGGACGGATGTGTCTGAAGGTTTTTCGTATAGACTGAACACCTTGGTAGCGATTCACCAGACAAACACCATTAAACTGTTTCGAGGCGCCTCAGAAACTTGGTCAAGGTAAACTTCGGATCAGAATTGATTTGAACTTTCCCATCATGAAATTGAGGGCTCAGACATTTGTTCCTCGTCGACACAGTTCAAAAATGAACACTCCACTGATAAGCATAGTCGTTCTTACTGTACAGATCCCTTTTTGGAAAAATGCGAGACACACTGACAACTTAACGTTCTATAGACATCACCGATTGTGTTCGGTCAGATTAGCGACAAGCTGCAGACCAATCTGTGTATAAGGACTGGCATGCAGACATCAATCAGGGGAGGAGTCGGTGAAGACAAATAAGTGCAGGTGTTGACCTTCTGTGTTATACGATGGATTAGGTGATAGAGTTGAAATTAAGCGTTTACTGTACCCATGTATTACTGATGTTTAGCCGTTCACGAAATGAAGACAGCTTGCTACCGTTCGGATGTCGTGCCTCTTATACGGTTTTATGGTGCACGCAATTCTGCATATTGGTTGGGGGTATTTGTGGTACAGTTCCGATTGTTGTTTCGATTCCTCTTCCGCGCATTCCTCATTTTCATTCCAAGCAGAACAGATGATGCGCAGCTTATTTTTCGTACAACGATTGCCGTAGCACATGAAAACTTGTCTTCCGTTTCAAGAACCGAGTATGAACTTTGCGGCCCCTATCGACATGATCGCAAGCCATATGATTTTGAACTCGTTTTGCTGTTGTAATAAACTGTTCAGCGTATGTATCGTACTGCATATATTATTTGCGTATGTACTGTACGTGATACTGTACAGAATGAGAAACGGTGTCAACAGGTGACGGGGAACTAATGGATGCATGGACAAGAACATCTTTCGCATTGCGATAGATCCAACTGTTTTATGCATTTCATTGTTTACAGGTTCATTTCAGTTTTCACTCGGGACATTGTGATGATTACAACGATAGTTGTGCAGCGACAACGCCTCTAGAAGCTAAATGGAACTGTTCAGCAGCTGGCGATGGATCAGTCGATAAATTGGGTTTCAGTTTATCGCTTTTGATCCTATTTCATCCAACTAATCCACTTTTCTGATAGCCACAGTTCTCGTGAGTTTTGGACTTTCAGACTCGACGTCAGCACTAGTTTTTCGGTATCTATCATTTAGTCACTTCGCTGGCCACAAAATCTTTCACTTGTGAAATCTTGTTCAGTCGTGCTGAATTTTGTATTTTTCGTGTGCCGTAGTCCGAGGTTAAGTTTATCACAGCTTCAGTGGAGATACGCAGCGAGTTTCTGACCCCTCGGCCGACCGAGGTCAGGATCTGAAAACAGTGGCGTATTTTGTGTTGAAGAAATGTAGTCATTTTAACGAGAGGTTACTAGTTTGGTACGTAAAGAAGCGTTGAGGAAAATTTGTCTCGTCTATCAACGTCCGCATTTGCCATTCACTACATTTGAAATAGTTTACGGCGACGGTCCGTGACTTGGACAAGCACTGCTACTGTAGCGTCGAACCAGTCCATTCGTGTTCCTTAAGAGCAACCAATCTCATTAAATCTTGACGCTTAAAAAGACTTTCGAGAACATCTCTTGATGCACGAACAGTTTTGTTTCTTTCTTGACGTTGGTATGCTGTTTCGGAACCAGGTCACCGTTTAGTAAATCGTCTCCTTCTAGGGCCGATACACCCGAACGACGATTGGACTCTGGTTAGCCTCTGGTCTCTCCCGTTTGGTTGAACGTTCAAAACTTTCATCTGATCTGACCACGGACAGACCGTAGCGACTCCTTGGAAGACCAGACTTGTTTCGAAGCATATTCTGTATCGTTGCGGGTTTGCGATGTGAGTGCTGATGACATGTTGCCGAAATCTGACTATGCTTTTAAAAATGAGTGCACATAACATCCGCCAAGTGCGCAGTACGCTTCACGAGACACTAGTGTCCGCTTTCGTTCGCCATTCGTGTTCCCTGCTTGTAGCAGGCCGTTTGTCAGCCAGTCTGTATCCCTCCTCATCTCACGGGTAATTCTGAAATCGAATAGGCCGTGCAGATCATAGGTGTGTGTGTGTGTGTTTGTGTGTGTGTGCTTTGTTGTAATGCAATCCTTTCATTTCCCACATTCGACGTGCTGTTGGTTTCCAGCATCAGTGTTGCTGTTGACAGAATTATGTCAATTACCTCACGCCGTCATATTCTTACCTTAGTATGCAACTGTGCTGCGTTGCTGTGGAAAAATATTGTGCCATTCAGTTGATGGCAGCGTCATGCTCTTTGGTATTTTTATTAAATTTTTAATTGCGATTGAGTTCGCCTCAAGTTTTCCCTCCATACATGACAGCTGGTTGAATTTTATTTCTGACCAGAAAAGGGTACTTAGTTCATTCTTGTCCTCGTTTTTGAGTCCAAGTTTATTCGTTAATGTTGCGGTATGGTTATCACAGCAGCAGCCATTGTTTCCAACAGATAAGCCATTCATGTGCATAGTGTCTCGAATTTTATGCAGGTCAACGTAACGTGCATTGGTTTACATGTAACTTCATCGTTAATTGATTAGCAACAGGCTTTTCTTACTAGATGCGGTTTCTCATTGTGACACAGTGCGCAGAAGGTCGCCTTTAAACTGACTGATGACACGGAAATGGAAATTATCGCTCCCACCACTAAATTCAAAGAGTGGTTCTAGAGTTGGCCCCATCATTACATCATTCCAACGGTTACAGAGTTTCCTTTTCCTTTAGCATATATTGCGACGCTGTTCTCCGTTTCAATGCCATCAACCAGGAGTATATTATTTTAAAAGCAGAGACTACAACTGCTGTGTGGTAGGCATTGTGTTTAACCTGCTTTTTCGTCGCAGAGTGGTATTCATTTGTCAGCCTCGAAAGGAGAAAATGCTAGTGACATGATCGGCTTTTGAGTCCGACTTTCTGTCGACTGAGCAGCCCCCTTCAACGGAAATCAATGGCTAAGCGGCGATACATTTTAGTTCTGGCACCGTTTTCTAACTGCCCCTGTAACCAGAGTATATTGAGCCATTATTTGAACAGTGTATTGAACTGTATACGAAAGTTTGATGTATGCGAACTTAAGTGAGGTAAGTGAGAAACTTTGAGAAAGCAACTGATTATGAAGTTTGCGATCTGGGCGACATGGTTTTTGTCGATTTGTTTTGCTGATGTCTTTGATCATCATGGTCCTCGGCGAATTCGTTTTTGTTATTTTTTCAGATAAATGGTTCTCAACAGACTGCAGGACCGGCATAAAATATAAGTTACTAAAGAGGTATTTGTCGATTTGATTGTTGTTTGGACAACGCTTGGTTATCTTCTTTTGTGATTCAAAGCTTAGGGTCATAGAAAACTTTTGCCTCAGCCATGATTTAAGCAAAGAAGACGAATATTCGTAAATTTATCATCGGCATTTTCCAATCTAGTGCTGGATGAAGGCTGCCTAAAGATTTCGCTGTAGACTTCTGTTTTTTACCATTTGTATCCATCTTGATCCAGCGAACTTCCTCAGTTCATCTTGCCAGTGATCTTGAGGTCTTTCTATGGACCGTTTACTCTCTCTTGAAACCCACTCTGATGCCTTTCTGGTCTAGCGATGTTCGGTTCTTCTGGCAGCACGTACTGTGCATTGCCACTTCAATTTTTTCACTCGGGCTAAATAATACAAAACATAAAATATTATAGCAGAGTTCAGTTGTTAACGAAGGAATGAACAATGTTTCGAGTTGAAAGACTTGGCTTTTCCTGTATTCGTCGTGAGTTATGCAGTGACTTTTGCCCCTTTGAGATGTGAAAATTGCTTGAGGTGGGCAGTTCAAGTTGCTGGCTGTGTATATTCTGGAGTACTTGTTGAAATAAACAGGCTGAATTAATGTTTGCAATTATAACGGCTTTGTTCTCCGAGGAAAGATATGCAAATGTAATGTTTTTTAATTAATAGCGTTTCATCACGTTTGTCTCGACTTTTCCTCTGGCCGTTCTTCATATGCGATTCTCATTTTCAGCAGTATAGCCTGTGTTCTTTCCTGCTGAGCTGATCACCTTACCTTCGGTGTGCTCAGCGCACTTTGGGGAGTTTCCTGTGCTAATAGACTGACCTAAGATGGAAAAGTGGTGGAGGCAAGACAGAATTCCGCCGGACGATTGTGATGTCACAGAAGTAGCCTGCTGGCCAGTGCAGTAGCGAGGCGCTCCATCGGTAAAGGCAGATGGTGTCGGAGCACGGTTAAGCACCGATTAGACATCCAAGAAATGAGTTTTCACGGTCGTTCCACTGCAGTCCAGTGGACACTCCTCAGAAACGCTGCTTCGTGAATGAGTTTT